ATAGTATAGTATGCCATAAAAATGTCATAGTATAGCATGCCATAAAAATGTCATAGTATAGTATGCCATAAAAATGTCATAGTATAGTATGCCATAAAAATGTCATAGTATAGCATGCCATAAAAATGTCATAGTATAGTATGCCATAAAAATGTTATAGTATAGTATGCCATAAAAATGTCATAGTATAGTATGCCATAGAAATGTCAGTTAATAGGGAAAAAACTGATTTAACTATCTGCAGTTGTCTTTAGTGTAACTTTGATGCTGTGGCTTCCAGTGAAGTGCTCTTCCTGCTCTTGTACATGTTGTTCCAAGGTCAATAGTCTGTGAGTCATCTTCCACTCCTGCTCTCACTGACTCTCAGGGTATGCTCTTTTCTTACTTTTAACTTTAAATGGTGCAGCCTAAAATTCTATCTGCTGCCAACATTAATTTCCAGTCCATATTGGTCCAAATGAGATCTATATCGTCCTGTCAGCTGTCTTTCCAGGCTGTCACTTGGTCTTTCCCCAGTTGCCAGCTGCCCTATCCACAGCAGTCATGAGCTGATGCTGGTTACTGTATGACAGCTATCAATACTCGGTAAAATATGCCAAAAGTTGGGTGAGCAGACCAAAGTACTGCACTTAACTTCAACTTTGAGACTTAATTTGATGCTAGTTTATACCTCTGCCCATCATTTCAGAAGCAAATATTATGTTTTTTACTTCACTTTCTATTTATCCAACAGGGTTTGCAAGTTACATGGCAGATTAAGATTTTACATACAAAGCATATTATGATCATTTTGTTAACAAAATATGATGTGTAGTTCATTGTGTGCTCAAATCCACAACAAACCAGTACTGCTGGAACTGTTTTTTCATGTGTCAGTTTAATCATCTCAACTTAACTAAGGAATATGCACCATGTAAGCATAATATAAACTAAAATAAATAAAGCTTCCATGACTTGTTGGAGCAGGGCTCCCCTATAAGGCAGGTCCACAAAGACAAGGTAATGATACATTATTATAATTGATTGATTTTGATAGTTGATAGTTTTAGTCTTATCTATGTACAATGAAAGTCAAAAAGCCTCTCTGTTATTATTAGATCTGCCTTTTAAAAATCTTCTTTTATTCAGAAGGTATTGTGCAAGATGTTGCAGTAAAATCATTACAGGTCTGGTGCGTAGGATTTAGGGAGATATATTAACTGAAATATTTTTTTAGTGTATAATCACCTGAAAATATGAATTGTGTTTTCCTTACCATAGATGAAGCTGTTTATATCTACAGAGGCAGCGGGTCCTTGTTTGCGGAGATCGCCACGTTCACCACCATGTTTATACAGTAGCCCAAAACAGACAAACATTGGCTCCAGACAGGGCCATTTGCATTTTTTGTGTCGACCACTGTAGTTAGAAGCCCATCTGCAAAGAGCAGCAACATCTGCAGCTAATTCAGCCCCCAGTAGGATCTTAAGTTATTGGAGGAAAAAAAGGTGAGTACACATTAGCAGGTGCTAGCTAGCAGCCTGTATCCAACATACTAAACAGCATCTGAGAAACACCAAATTTTTAACATGAAACTTCTTTATTTTTCTGTATTTTGCTTTTACTGGTTTTGACCACTTGTTCTGATTTAGAGAGGGGACCTCTGTGGATAATTCAGCTCCAAGTAAGAACTGCCACACAGCGCCAAATAAACACTGGTTTGTAACCTGAAACTGCATTAATATTATTTAATCACCTGGTCTGTTTGTTTTGGAGAGGGAGGAAGAGACCTCTGCGGATAATTTGGCTCCCGCTGAAAACCTGCTGAACAATAAACACTGAAGGAATTCTAACTAGGAGAACTTGCACCTGGTTGCAGTCTGCAATCCACACTGCTGGATGCCATTAAATCCCTCTATATTTTACACACTTGACCTTTAATAAATGCATTGTCCAAAAAAACTTAAAAGAAAATATTTCTGCAACTTATTGTAGTTTAGGTGTCACAATATGATTGGAGAATGATAATGCCTGGAACAGTCAATTACCTTAATTACATTTTCACTAAGTATCAGATGGAATTGTTATGTTACTTTAGATTATGTCCACTATATTTCCCTTTTATCCTCCTGTCTTTTTAGCATAGCAACATAGTTTAGCTGTTGAACTTTCAAAATTCAAAACGCTTTCTGAAGCACCAGTGAAGTCTGAAGCTTGTGATATCACCAGTCACATGGAATATTCATTTGACACAAGATCTGATAAAATGTATTGAAACACACATGAAACAAGCTTCTGTATCATCGGCCCATCTCTGATTTACAGTCCATACTTTTTAGCACCACCAACCATTTTTACCGAAGGCTGAAATATGTCTTTCTGACTGGTGACTGACACATCAGCTGTCGAACCACTGGGCAACAACAACAGAAACTATGAAGACTAAAAAGACGAGAGCTACAGCATCAACTGGCACTGCCAGCCTCCGCAACAGAAGGTCGAGGAAATATTGGCAGATGGTTGGGCTGTGAAACATATCTAAGGTTTTAGAACATGCAGAAAAAAAGATATTTTAGGGCTCATCTATCAGCTGTGCTCAAGACAGAGATGTAAATAGCACAAACTGCCAACAGCGCTGCCGTTATGACATATCATCCCCCTAATGATGGGGCAAACGCTGTCCTTTAATGAGCCCACAGGGAAAACACTCCAAGGTAGGACAATAATGTTGTGCATGCAGGTCTAACTGTGTTTGCAGTAACATGCACATCCAGCCTTTGCATGATTTACTCAAACATATTTGGCAACTAAGACGAAATATCTGCCTTCTCTCCAATACAATGGAACTAGGTGGCACTTGGCTCGTGGTGCTCAATGTTCTTATGTTTCTTGTATTGTTTTGTAATTTCATTTGTTTTTCGTTGTTGTATCGGACCCCCTTGAAAACGAGATGATGCATCTCAAGGGGTTTATCCTAACAACAAAGAGCCAAAAAAAATCCCAAAAAAACACTCAACAGCAATGTCTCTTTCCAGCTTCCTCAAGATAATCCAGACCTTGTTGTGAGCAAATTTATGTAGGGTTTTCTTTCTTCTGAACCACACCAGCCAACCGAATCACTGTGCAGAAGGAAGTGTGCATCTACTGCTAGCTCACCTAGCATCACTGTGCTAGCCAATGTTAAAGCCCAGCCAAGAGGACACCATCAATGTTTACATCTCACACTGCCATGAGCATGTCCATGAGTAGGTCCTTCTGTGTTGTGTTACAGTTGGCAGGTGTAGTTCAGCAGGAAGCAAATCAAAACAGGAATCAGGACCCAGTTACTAAAAATAATCACAGACTTTGTTGTGAGCAGTTTCATGTTGGCCAACCATATCTCCATGCAGAAGGAAGTGTGCATCTACTCATGAATGAGAGGTTTGTGTTCATGACGGCATGAGATGTAAACATTAATGATGTCCTCTTTTGCTGAACTGTGATGTTAGCAAGCTCAAATGTGCTAGATGAGCTAGCAGTAGATGCACTCTTCCTTCTGCACGGTGATACAGTAGGTGGGTGCAGTTTGATAGAAAGAAAATAGTTCCTACGTGAAACTGCTCACAACAAGGTCTGTGGATTATCTCGAGTAACCAGGTCATGATTTCTGAAAAGAGACATTGCTGTTGAGTTTTTAAAATGTATTTTTTTGGCACTTTGAGCACCACAAGCTGAGTGCCATCTAGTTCCATTATACTGGAGAGAAGGCAGACATCTCTACAGCCGTTGTCTGCAACACTGGGTGACTCACACCAAAACAATGTGGATCAATAAATAGCACTGCAGGTAAGAGGATGAGGAAAAATGTGAACTGTCCCTTTAAAAAAAGCAGGCATGGCCACATGAACACACACATCCAGTTCCAAGAGTAAAATTACTTTATTTTTGCAGTGCATTTAATACATTTCAATCTTATGATCAATCACTGTTAATAACCTCATAAATCTACTTCATGTTAAACACATACTGCAGTAATTGTGATTCCTACAGTATGTAGTGTATAATGTTGAGTTCACTGTCTGTGTGAAACAGCTGCCCACGTCCCAGCTGTGTAAGTAATGAGTTCGACTGCTCTTTCGTGCAACATATCACACTTCATCCTTAGCCTGCATGTGACAAATTCCTTCAATATTTTTGGTGTAAAAGATGCAAACATACAATTCAAATATTAATGCTGAGTGAGTAACTGTAGTGTGAATAATCTGAAATAACAGCAACCATCTACGATCTATTTGGTTGGCATCCACCAATGGCAGTCATTTTGTGTGTAGCCACATCACACGCTGGATGAGATTTTAATATAAAATTTATCTTAATCGTATTTAAGAAACAATGCATCTGACTAAAACGTGAAATTTTGTGCCATGCAATTACTTGTGAAATAATTTATTCCCAATGGCAGTTGTGTGGCTACAAAGTAATCATCCTAAAAACCGTGTTCGCTGGAGGTCTGAAGGCTGCCTGACTGGAATAGCTGCTGAACTGAAAGAGGATAAGTGGCGGCGTGGCCTTTTCCCTTTGAACACTTATTCACTTAACTCATCACTAATGGGCTCACGGAGCTAGGACGCACAGCTGAGCCACTGGCTGTAAATAGGCTTTCACCATTGAGCTAAACACAAATAAATACAGTACAGTACACACACACATACACACGCACTCAAACATACACAATATGTCTACACAAATGCTCAGTCACCCTCACATCCATTTCTGTGCAAATGTAATAGTTCAAAGAGTTGTTGTGCAAATTCAAGAATATAATACACACCAAGGACACTCCCTTACATCCACTTAATTATGTGTAACTGCATTGAATGTGAAGCTGGAGCGTCTAATGTTATCCCTGAAAAGAAAGTTTGTTTTAGTGTAGGCGTTGCCAGAGAAAGGTGAAGGGAAGCAAGTAGCTGCCCTGTAGAATCAATATATATATATTTTAAAAGCAGCCATATCCGCCCTTGATGGGACCATACTGTTCATATATGACCACACTAGGAGGGGAGGAGGAAATGCACCGACCTCCTTCCATCCCGTGTTCTATTTCTTCCCCAAAACCCCCCTGCGGATATCTTCCTCCTCTGAAGAAAAAGCAATCAGGCTGAGAACAGTCCTCCTGCAAGTTAGCCAGCAGGGGTCAAGCAAGTCCTTCTCTCAGCTCCGATCAAACCCCTCCTCTTACAGGAGCTGCAGAAAAGAGACTGACACCTAATTCCCCTGCTCCTGTGGAGAAGGCTAAAGGCAGTGTTTGGGAGTTGGATGCCTAGTTGGAGCCCTCTGTCGTCAGTTCTCCACGTTGGCCCTGAGTGTGCGAGGCTTGAGTCTTTGATGCAGCCGGTGGTCCTGGCTGGACGCCCTTCGCAGGGGAGCTGGAGAGTTGAACTGCGGGTTGGTGAGGCCCAGCGTCTGAGTCTTGATGGCTCGCGGCATTGCCCTGCTGCAGCTCACCGAGCGTCTCTCTTCCACGCCCGTCTGGGACTCGAGCTGAGCCTCGCACAGCTCCAGCAGTGACACTACCTGCTCCCTCAGCGTCAGGGATTTGAACCTGCGACCTGCCAGGTAGAAAAAGGCTTCCACAAAGGCTTGTACTCCCATACCTGCAAAACACAAAGTATGGTTGAGGTGAGGCTACAGACATGCATTTAGTTACCTGTGGACAGAGCCAGGTTCGCTTTACCCTTGGTTACAGTGTTTAACTAAGCTAAGCTAACCGATTGCTGGCTGTTGCCTTATACGTAATGTACAAAAGGTGAGAATGGTATCGATCTTCTCTTCTGAGTCTCTGTCAGATAGCAAATAAGCACATTTCCCAATACGTCAAACTAAGCCAAGTAAGACAAATACCTGTTTTCGATTATGTTAATCAGTCTCCTGTAGCCAGACCTATCTCCACAGGTAAGAGAAAGGTCTGGAAGCACTCATTATCATTCTGCTATGGAGGGAAAAAAACCCTCTGTCTTCTCTGTATTTTATTTATTTATTTATTTATTATTAAGATATTTTTGGGGCATTTTTAACTTTATTTGATAGGACAGACAAGTGTGAAAGGGGGAGAGAGAGAGGGAGTGACATGCAGCAAAGGGCCACAGGCTGGAGTTGAACCCGGGCCGCTGCGGCAACAGCCTTGTACATGGGGCGCCTGCTCTACCACTAAGCCACCAACGCCCCTTCTTCTCTGTATTTTTTAAGAACAATTACAATTGTGTTGGCTAGCACTAAGCCCAGGATGTGGCAACTGTGCCCTTGCCAAATAGTGTTGGGAGGTACTGTCACTAAAATTCTTCATTCTCCACACAGGAAAACGCCACAAAAACAGTAGGCCTGACAATCATATGTCACTGTGTAAGTCAACTTTTAGAGATAAAAAATACAAACAACATAATCGGTGTCCTAGAGATGAAACCTGACTTTAATTTGACTCTAGAGTAGCTTGTGGACCCATTAAAACCACAGAAAATTTGCTGGCTGTACATGGCTCTAACAGAACATTTTTACAAGTATGTCACAGACGCTCGTGCGAAGTGGAACTAATGGGTACACTGGTGAAGTCAATGGCAGAGTTAAAAGATATGTGAAATCAAATATCAACTGACAGTCAAAAAACAGATCAACATCAGGCATGAGTGCCTGGGCTTTTCCGAGGTGCATTCATGAGTTGTTTTGTTCGTTATAGATCTTTACAACAATTCACTAAATCAACAAAGCAGGCTGTAGTTGTTTTTTTAAAATAACTTTGCATGCATGTGTGTTCATGTGTGTTAGTACACAGCAGAGTCTCAGTCTCTCCTGAAATGTAAGTTTAACATCATAGTATGGTGACTGATTTCGAAAGAACGCTTTTAAAATTTAAAAAACAAAAGTGCATTAATGGATAACACAAATGCAAAAGCCACAATAGAGGTGAGCCTCAATGGATGTTGAAAATGAAACTTGCTTGCTACAGAAGTGAACATTGTTTCCTAGTTAACTATGATTACTATAAATATGTGATTGTCACAAATGAGCAATGTCTTTTTCATATTTACATATTAATATATTCTGCTATCTAACATTAGGGTATTACAAAGCTAGCTCTGCAGTAACATTAGCATGACATCATTTAGCTAACGTAAGTCAATCAGAAAACTGTAACCTAAGCTGTAACCGTGGATGATGACACAGTGATATTAGGCTGATATATGGTAGGTCATGCAGCACTTTTAATAAGTATCGCTTGACAGAAATGAAACAGTTGCACGTTGTTTTCAATTCACGATTTTTGCATTTGTGTTTTCTGCTAATGCGCTTGTGCTTTGTTGAGTTTACAAAGCGTTTTGCAGGTCTTTTGAAACATCTTGGCACCACATCATCAGCGCTTAAATCCACATTTAGGATTCTCTCTATTAATATTCGGAGATCAGTACAATAAGAATTCAGATATCAATATACTATAAAAATATACCTCTGTGTATGACTGTTAACATATATTAGCCGTGTGTGTTTGCCACCAAGAGAAGAACAGAAACAGCTAATTACACCAATGAGCTGCTGCTGCTCTAGAAGTGTACAGACAATGAGAGAAGAAGATGTGATCAGTTTATCATCCTAATTTTATAATTTTCAAATCTTGCCTTGGGGGACCAAGGTCAGAGAGGCTGAAGGTCAAAGAATGAATAAGAAAACAATGAACTGATCAGAAAACAAGAGTGTGAGCTGAATTTTCACCCAAAGGTCTCCTTAATATTTCTTACTGCAGTCTTGACCTAGAAGAGGAAAACAAATGAGCAGAAAGCAAAGAAATCCATGAAGCGAAGAAAAAAAAAGAATGAATAAAATGCTAATTCACAGTGGACTAACATGGTGAGAGTTAATAGGTCATTTTCTGTGGTATTATTAAAATCGTTCCAGATCAGAATAAAAATCCTGTGCAAGAGAGGGTTTTCATAAATTCCTACATGTGTCCTTTTAAAACTTTGCTGCATTTTCCAAAAAAGAAACCACATCGTAATTTGTAAATACTAGTTTTCTGCCACTTCTTGCTTCCCCACAATCCTCCGAAGCACACACACAGAAATAACAGACCCTGACACTTCAGTCTCCCTGAATACGTATGAGCTCATTCTAAATTCAGCCCACAATCTCCTCTGTACAGACCCTTCCATCCTGGGCCATGTGATCTCCATCCATCCGCTCCGCCTCGCAAACATTCCTTGCAAGGTGCTATGTCTGAATAATTCATGTTGGATAGTCTCTCCGCTGTCACATTGTGATCTCAGCTCATTTCAATTACGGTAGCGCAGTGTCAGAGGGAATCTGACAAAGAATGACAAGCAATTATCTCCAGGCACATTATTTGCTCCGAGTCTCAAGGATACCCAGTTCTCTGTCCTCTACATGTTGTTTCTTTGTGGGGGGGGGGCTTGTTTTTGCATGTACTTGGTGTGTGTACATGTGTGTGTGTGTGTTACCTGCTTCTCTAGAGTCAGGCATCGTTCCTGCCCAGCGACGTGTAATGTCTATGTAGAGGATGTCTACTGAAGCCATGGAGAAGTTACTGTTGCTCAGCTTACAGGTCCTGAAAGCAATCAGGAAATGTTAGATGTTAGTTCACGCCGAATCACATGTAGTCAGCCCTTCTTACAGTCAGAAATAAAGTCAACATGTTTTTTAAAGTATTGATAATTGTTTTTTTTAAATTGTTAAAATGAAGGAAAAGGTCTTTGCATAAAGTAGTTGAGATATTTCACCAAAGATTTGATTGGTTGTATGGAAAGAAGTTAATAGTATTATCAAATGAATTTAAAGAAGAAATACTGGCTCAATAAACATGATTTGTCTTTTGACTATATGTGAAAGGTGGTCCGCTGCCAATAAGAAAGATCTTAATAAACTTCAATTAGCCCAAAATAAGACTACGGGACTTGTTCTTCATGCTCTGTATCGTACATGTATTACTGACTTGCACTGACTGTCATGGCTCTCAATTGAAGCCAAATTACTACTAGAGAAGCTGTATTATTAGAGAAACCCAAATCTTTATCAGCTCTGCTAGAGTTCTCTGGAAAAACACATGCATATCTGTATGTGGACTAACCTTTTGAAACATGTAGTTATGAGCAGGGTTTCTCTAGACTGAAACAAGTGACCAAACAGTATTGCAGCCGAAATACATGGTGCACAGATGCGACACATCACGTAAGCAGAGTGAAGCAGGTTTTTTTAGCTGCTACACAGACTCCATCTTTGAAGCGTGTGGTTGTGCCACCTTTACTGTGTTTGTATTGAGTTTAACCAAGTGATAATGCAGCTGGTTACGGAGGGTTTGGAAGCATATGCCAAATTAACTGGTACTGAATTGATTGACTTGATTGCTTTAACAACATGACACATTGATTTGATGGATTTATTTTAATGTGACATGGAAAAACACACAAAAGGTCACCTTGCTGTGTCACATTGCCTCTGGAACAATGAGGTATTCATTACACAGTTCTTTGTTGTTTTTACTTGTTGGAGCGCCATGGAACCAAGCATAGCAATAAATAAATAGAACAACAACCATAAATTTAACGTTGAGCAGTATGGTGAAGCTTCCATGGTCAGTGTAGTAGCTTCAATTGATTACATTAGACGCCCTCTGCTCCGCATCCATTACATGGCGAAGGCATGACCCGCATACTGCGGCAGACATGTCTTGCCGTGACCGCAACCCATGTATTTTAGCTGGGAATTAAAAAGTGCTTTCTCTTGTAAGAAGTGAAGTCATTACACATGTGTTTCTATGTAATGCCATCCTTGTTTTCATGAATCTGAAAGACTGCCGAGAAGAAAAAAAATAAAAATAAAAAAACTTTCGATGATTAACAACGTTTAGCTTTAAAAAAACTGAACATTGGTTGCTACCTATACTTTGAAAAAATGGACTGCATTTAAAAGAAATAATTACGGTTTAGCGATTCTAAGCTAATGACAGCAGAAAGGCAAAGGCTACGTAGGAAACGTCATCATTGAAATGATGCTGCCTGAGGCAGAGGCAGAGTAGTGTGGGTCATGCCTTCGCTAAAGTAGGGGAAAAATATCACACCGTGGTGAGTGTGAGCTAGCGCCCAGTAACACTGGTAGCTCTGTCAGTACTGTTGCCATTGTTAACACTACACTGCTAGAAACTGCCATTTTGGCTCACTGAGGTGAGAGCCGTGTGCATATATTGCAAGTTTAATGAAAGTAAAAAATAGTTTGTGTATCTGCCCCATGATTGAGATTCATCCTAAAACTGAATGGGTTCTTTCTTGGCCCATGCTACACCCTTTCACTGAGTTTCAAACAAATGAGCAAATGGACTCACGCACCAAAAACTCGACCTTCTTAGTGGAGGTACTAAATAACATTTTGTACCTGATGAAGGTTCGGAAGGCAGTGGGGCCCAGACGCATGTTACCCTTGACCCCGAGGAAGCGTATGAACAGAGCTGCGATTCTCTCCACCAGCCGCAGGTAGTTGAACTGTTTGGTGTACTTGGGGTAGACCTGCTTCAGACACAGCGAGGGCAGAGCTCCTTCATCCGGGCCTCTCTCTTGTATCTCCGCCTCCATGGGGATCTCCTCCCCGTGTTCAAGCCCACCAGCCCTCTGCTGGGAACTACGGCCATGAAACAGAACAGAAACAAAAACAACAGTTTATCATACATTTTACTGCATTGGATTTCAATGACGAGCATTTAACCAGCAGCTCTGGGGATTTAAAGACGACAAAAGCCTTTACATTTTCTGCTTGTTGTGCTGTCCAGGAGCCTGGCTGAGTAATGGCCCTCAAGCCCTGCAGGACTGAAGCACAAGAACACAGGGCCAACCCAGAGAGCTTTTGTCAGCTAAGTTACAGATCACCTGAGGTAGATAAATGCACCGAGATTTTCATTTGAGTCTGCACTTACAGCCTGGCTTGGCGGGGGAAACGGGAAAAATAATGTTGTATGAAAGATAAATAACTCTTTTCCCTCTCTCATCTCACAGCCTCTGTACAGCCTTTTCACTGTGCTTACATCCACAACACTAAATGCATCAGTAGCATGATAAATATACATGCTACGGCTTTTGCATTTAGAAATCTGTTCTGAATTCTTATGAAGAAAAAGCTGATATTTCTCACCAAGTTCAGATACGTAAGTTAAACAAAGCTCAGAAAGGAAGGAGACTTCTAATGGGAGCAGCAGTGTGACTCATAAAACACTGCATACCCAGGAGATGCCTCTTGAAAAGCTATGGTGGATCTCTGCAGTGGTTTTATTCTGTACAGGACATTAGTCAATGAAAGCATGCGCTTGGAAAAAGACCCATACTGCCAATTCAATTGCAACTGCAGTGCTGATGGTGGACAAATTGTGCTTTTAGAGTTTAATTATTGACATCACATTAGATGCTTTGAATGTCGATGAGGCAGAAATATCAAAGCACTTATGTCAGTTACCCAAATAGGCCAAAACAAAATCCATCACCATAGATCAGTGGCACAAAGTCGTCAAAAGATGGAAGTTCCATGCAAATAACGTATTGATTTGATTTCAAAACACCGAAAGAAAGCCTTTGCAAATACAAACCAAGCCTCCAGGAAAAGTGTTGAGCTGTGAGGCAATTTCGGTGTAGTAGCTGGAGTCAGAATTTTGCATGCATGCTGGCCCAAAATGACTGTTTTCTCATTCACAATCAGTATAAAAGTAACAGCTGTAAAATGATATCATATATTATATTATATATAGAGTGTCAAACACTCTGTGGTGGCTTTTTGTAATATAGGAATTTGATCCATTAGATTTAATAAAAATGAAAAGGTACCCTGAGGAGTTTTCTCTCAAAAAATCCTCCTTAAATTCAGTTTCTCTCCAAAAGGTACTGTGTGTATGATCAAGACCTAAAATAACTTGTTAAATTTATTTATTTCAACATAAAATATTTGCAACACCAATAAAAAAGCTCAAAACTCTTATTGTTTGGATCCATGTATGCTAGCTTGCTATCTTCTTCCCTGCATTTTTCTGGCATATTGCTATGTTTCTTGGTGCATGACTGCCACCTGTCGATAAGTAGAATAGTGTAAAACCATTGGCAGAAATGTGTATCACATGACCACCATGCTCATAGTTGCTTGTACTTGTCCCCAAGTTACAAGAACACAAGTGAGAACACAATAGCAGGTGCTGGACGATGGCCGTGTCTTCGATGAGACATACAGCATCGGAGAAACACTGATTTTTAACGTGAAGCTTTAGTCTGTATTTTTACCAGTGTAAATCACCAGGTCCTTTTGTTATGGAGAGGATACGACCTCTGAGGATAACTTGGCTCCCAGTAAAAACCTCCTAAACAATGAACACTGAAAGACTACCAACTGGGAAGAAGTTTCAGCTGGTTGCAATCTGCAATCCTCACCACTAGATGGAACTGAATCCCCCTAAATCTTATACGCTGCTCTTTTAATTCCAACTTCTACTGTACGTGTAATTTGTCTGCGATGTAAAGCCAAAGCTCACGATTTATGTGCTAACACTGTACAGTCCAACTGTCATGTCACCTTTTACACTGTATATGCAAAATAGAATATTAACGGCTCGTTTGCCCCAGCACACCTTTCTGGCTGAAAGACTTGTAGGAAAGCCCAGAGGCAGTAGAAATTAGCTTGCTAGCTACACCAGCATGGTTCACAATAATGCTTTCTTGCCAATGCTTATCTCGTCCATATAGGTTTTTATGGGAAGAGGAGAAAACATTGAAAGAGGCTCATATGCTGCTGCCTTAGCTAGACCAACTTGGCCTCTATATTTTTCTTCCACATGATGCGTCGTGTGCGTTGCCATGGAACTTCAGATGCCTTGTTTGCCTCTTTCCACAGGCAAAGTGAGAAAAGAGGCACTGATCTTGGGTAATCAGCTCGTGGCTCTGCTTTGAATGTGCAAGAGCCTGACAATGGCTGACCAAAATTTCTGATGTCAGAAATTCATCAGATTCTCCAATGGTCGTCGGGAGCAGTTGACTGGGCCATGATCGGTCATTGCTTTCCCCTGTACACTGCACAGCAAACAAAGCATGATAAAGCTGAAATTAGGTCCCACTCCAAAATCAGATCAAAAACAGGCTAAAATCGTGTATTTCCAGTTCAAGAGATCTCAAAGAGCAAAATCCAAAGAATTAGTTATTAATGATTAGTTACCATCCCACTATTTTACACCTCTTTCAAGTCACAGTTCATTTTTTTGATTGTTGCCGTTCATACCCTCTGCCTGTCTCTCCCCGGCAGTGATCCCATTGTGCTTCTCCAGAGGGATTTGCCTTGTCTTATAGAAAATGAAGAGGAGTAATGTGTTCTGCTGTTTTTACCCTCAGGAATGTGTGGGCGTGTACAGACTGTGTCTAAGTGACATCTCCATCCCTTTCCTGTTAGCCTTGCTTCATCTGTTACTGTAGGACAGTGCCTATTACACCTTTATGATTCTTATTAGTTCATGAAGTGCAGTGACCTCAAATAATTCCCACCATAGCAACCTGAGCAGAGGTCTCATCAGCCAGAACAAGTGAAAACACCTGTGTGGGTGTGCAGGGCCTTTAAAGACAACTCCTATGGTCAACACACAAGCACCAAAGAGAAACACAAAGGTACATTCACGTCAAGGGAATACAGTGCTGCTGACTTTTATGAGGCAGTTTCTTTCTCCATGAATTAGTAAGCAGTGTGAATGGCACTGAGAGAGCACTGCTGAATGTTTAATAGAATCAATCATCCCTCGGCAGCCAGAAGGACACCACCCACATGTATTTAGACAGGACAGGCTCAGCTAAAAACGGACACATCTTCAACAGAAGCTGACAGCCAGACAGACAGTGAGGGGAATGTCGACAAACATTCCCTGCAGACAGAGGAGAAAATGATGGAGGCGAAGCAAGAGGGTAAAAGGTGAAGAACGGCAGGTTATTAAAAAGACATACAGAGGGCTTGGTGCCAAATGTTAGTTGAGTGTATGCAATGAGGGCCAGGCCTAATTTAGCTGTCATTACCCAGCATAAATGCTATTTCTGGCCTTCTGGTGAATAAATCTTCAAAGCTTTTACACACTGTAAAAAAAAAAAATAAAAAAAAAAAATTCTGAAAAAGGTGCCGGATGTGTCTATGAAAAGAAATCAAAATTGTCCGCACACTTGTCTCCGTTTCAGAAATCTGAATTTATTGCCTGAGCTATTCTCAGAGCATGAGTCATACCAGCACACACACACACACACACATTAGTCTCTCACATGTAACAAAAGACTTGTGTGTTTAAATGATTTAAAAATTGTGACAATGTAAAAGGGGTCACTCGTGGTGATGAACTTACAGATAATTATCACCCATATCTACAGCTCCCCTCTGCTTTCATGGAGCTTCATATCCAGTTTCAGCTCATTACTGCAACTTATCTGTTGTGGTTCACTCTCACCGCTCTTACAGTGCTATTTTTGGACGCAGCAGGCAACTGTTTTCAGCCATAAAAGCTCCAAAAAACCCACTGTACATTGACTCCTCAGCACCAAATGGCAGACAGACACCGTTAGTGACTAGGTGGTGAACACAGTGGAGAATTTCGTAAATACAAAGACATATTTTCCTCACCAAAAAAAAAAAAAAACAACAGATCTAAAACACAGTAAATAATTAATTTGCCTTCACCAGTGGCCAGAAATGGTTGCCCTGTGACTAATGGATGTGTTAATAAGTAACTATTTGCTTCAAGACGAACTATTATGTTTTTCCATATTTTGTGTCTTATATATTATTTTACATTGTTGGAAGCTCATGTTAAATGCCAAAGTTTCAAATAATGAGGCAGAAATATTTCCACTCTGGCTACAGTATGAAACCATGGCATGCCAGGTTTCTTTATATGGTCATCTGCTTCTTGCATACTACTGCAAGTGTTTACATTACATAGTGTGCGCCGTGCACTGCTATAGTACATGAAGCAACATGCTGACATGCTAACATCAGTGAAATGTGTAAACTTGGGTTATATCTTTGTGTTTAGAAGCTGTTGTTGGAGATTTTTCATGGTAGAAAGTGCAGCTATTTTCCATTACAGGCCTTACCCAGCTGCAAGTATACTGCTAACTAACATGTAGCTACATGCTAACATCAGGAAAACGTAATATTGGTTAATATTGGTTGCTGCTAAACTTCTCCCTGATTTCAGATCATATTTCTGTTGGAACATGTCCGATTGTGTTTACAATCTTTTACTGGACAGACAGTATGAGAAAAATAGTTTTTTGACCATTAAAGCGTGTAAATACGTTCCAGTAGAAACTTTGAATAAAAGTTTAAACCTGAAAAGGAGCATAACAGGTCCTCTTAAACCTAAAAGTTGTCAATGGTGTGTCACAACTTTTTGCCGCCCCTTAGTGGCCAAAAAAAAATCTGTTAATTGAGGTTCAACATGGGGGTTATGAGCATTTAATCAAAGCTTCCACAGTGACACAGTGAAGAAACATCAACTTAAAAAACACTGAATTTTGGACACCTGCTTCAACCTTAGTTACCTTTGACTTCAGTCAGTCCACCTCTGCACTTACCATTTCTTTTTATGCAGATGATGCTTTTGTAATCGTGTCACTTGTACC